AGCGTGGCTGCAGTGAAGAGTAATATAAGACGAGACAGCTGTGTGCATGTGCATTCACAGTAAGTGAAGTTAATGAGTTGAAATACTGAATTCTTGAATATCTGGCTCTAATGAGGTCATGAAAAACACTGACAGGCACACAGGGCACGAACACACACACACACACACACACACACACACACACACACACACATGCGTTGGCTGATCCCGTGTCCTGCCTCAACCAGAACAACAAGGTCCTTTTGGTCGCTGCAGCTCGTGTAACGAGAAAGGAGATGCATGGCGGTCGATGCATCCTACACAGGCTTCAGGCCTGACTGAAGCTTTTGTTTGCTTCCCTATAGCTGCCAAGATGCTGCAGCCCTCCCTGCCCACTCTCTCGTTACTGGACGGCAAACCAGACAAATAACTGAGGTGCTACACTTGTCTCAGTGTAGGTCACAGGAATATCAACAACAATGCATTTCTGAGTTTCACACTCTAAACACGAGATACATGCTTTAAAGTTACAGCTACTGTAGTTATTCCTGTGAACGTAGTACAGTGGAAAATTATCTGGCTAAGGATCTTTTAGCAGGTTGTCAGTAGCGTCAGTGCTTGAGATCTACTTAGGATCTATTGATGGTCAGATCGTGAGACAGTGGGCCCCTGGGCACAAACATTTGAAAAGCCCCCCACCCCTCCACCATCTTTTGTGTCTTTTGACTGAGCTCTGTGACTTTCAAACTAGAAATATAACGCTTTATACAGAGGCACAGGCCCATGGGTCCCCTAAACTCTCAGGCCCCTGTCTGCCAGTCCAGCCAAGAATCTATTCTATTTGTGTCTTCTTGGTAAGCTCTCTGTCATCAATATTCAATTTTTACTACTTGCCATATCATCTCAAACAGTTCTGCAGTCAAGTCAACTCCCGATACACTGTAAAACACTTGAAGTTGCACTCACTTGTAGTGTTTCCTGACATCTGAATGATGCATTTACTCTCCTTTCCAACCTCTCTGGAGTTGAAGGGTCGGACCCTCACGGCCACCTTTACCGAAGCCCCCGCCATGACGCAGGTGTGAGTGAGTGGAAGAGCTGGAGACCTGTACACAAACACACACCTGGCACCTGCACAGGTGATGAGAGGGATTTACTGGATTTATTAGCAACAGAAGTAGACATGCAGGGTAGAGATCAACCTTTGTTGTGAAGCATTAACTGAATATTGTTAAACACCTAAAAATAGAGAATGAATTTGAATTTCAGTGGCTTGTTATTGTTATTACATTTAAACATTAGGGGCAGCTGGCCAAGGCATATCCTCCTCAGTCAGTTTGGCTTCAGGCATTAAAACACAGCACCTAAAACTAGGGCTGACTAAATGGCTGGGTCATCATTTGGCAGAAAGATCATCAGCATCCCTCCTACAGTAAGATGGCTGCTTATTCTTCGAGCATCATCCCCTCGCCTCATCCATCAGTGCTGAAGACCTTGTGGTGAAACTCTCTTCTCTGCTTCGCGCCAAAGAAAATAACACATTCCTCAATTGATTACAATTAACTGTGGCGTTTTCACAGCATCTTCACAGCAGTAATTCCACTTATCTCCAGTTGCTTTACGTTGAAAGCCTTAAAGGTTTTCTCTGTTTATGACCAGATACTTTAGGCTTCGATCGATCTTCCTGACCACAACCGATGAAAAATAACATTTCTCCTCCTGAACAGCTTAAAGGTAAGCAATTGGCTGGCCTGCAACAAATTCTCACAAGATTTAAGGATACATTTGCGGTAAAGACAGCAAATGTTTATACGTATGTAAATAAATATCGTGTCCTCCATCTTACTTCTTCTGCCGCACCTCAAAAACAGGCCGCGTAAACAGAAACCGCACAAACACCAACCAAATCATATACCACTGCGTCAGAGAGGTCTGCTCAAATTATTACAGCTCAAATGACACTTTTGACCTGAAATGTCTCTCTTGAATAATGGTGCCAGTGCTGTTTTTAAAATACAATTGCTGACAGCAGAGGACAGACATCCTGGCGCAGCGTCTTTATTTATCGCCCCTAATGTACAAAAGGCCTCCAAATCTCAGTTACTGTCCTCACCAACGCGTGACACCCTTTAGTGGCGACGATGTGCCTTGAAAAACATCTGAGAAGAGTCTAGTCTTACCTCAGAAACTCAGAATCGACGACCGCAGAGGGTGAATCCCCTGCCCATTAAAAACAGCGCCGGGATCCTCCGGTGCCTTTTTCTTGAATCCCCTCACCAGCCTGTATCTCTGGGCTCTCTCTCTCTGTCTTTGGTCAATCTACAGCATCTCTTCCCTTAGCGCATCCATACATGGAGAATCCGCCGGAGAAAGAGAGGGGGATCCGCCGCAGCTTCAGCAGCAGCACTGGGTGGGCCGAGCGCAAACACAGTGGTGCGTCAATCAGAAAAGAGTGGGAGACGTGATGGGCAGGCTGGGTGCGGGATGCTCCAGCGGCCCGCCGTCACTCCATCCGTCAGACAATCTGAAAGTAGGGAAAATGGCGGGGGTGGTGGGGCAGGAGGCAGCCATGATGCAGCACAGAGACAGAAGAGGAAGAGGAGAGTGAAGCAGAGGACCAGGGATGGACCATAACAGGAGATGGGAGGTTCAGAGAGAGTGAGAGTGATGCTAGACCAGACAGAATGAGACAGTCGGGTACCTGAAGGTGCCCCCAGCATCTGCAGATTTACTTCATGATAAATGGTATTTTGTCATTTGTTAAACATTTTTCACCACAAATTTTCAACATAGAAGCTAATGCTGTTTTTTTATCCTTAAAAACAACTTTAACTCCTTTAATTTTTGTTTATTGTAGTTTGTAAATAAACCTGTTTGATTAAATTAGCACAAATTGCTTTTTAAAAAGTGAATTTTTGGCATTAGTAGGAAAAGCACAGGTGTCCGCCATGACAGTGTAAGATCCAGCGTGAACAAAAGCAGCTTAATGGAATTCAACCATTATTCATTATTTACATGTGCGTTTCCTGTAATGATACTGTATGTTGAAGTATACTCTGTGAAAAAGTTTACTTTCATCTTAATTTATATTTAAATTAAGAATTTTAAAAATATAAAATATAGTCTATTGAATTAGCTGGAATCATCCACTGCACAATATCAGATTCTGGGGACTTTAACTTAAAGCCTTTTCATGGTGGCCCCTGTGAACACATTTATATCTCTTGCTCCCCCTCTGTCTACTCCTCCTGATCTGTTGGGGTAGATTCTGAGTTTTCAGTCCAGTGCAAAGGCCAGTGAGAGCTTAACACGGAGTCCTCTTTATTTACCAGTGGTGTAATTATTGACCGAGCCAGACTCCTAGAGAGTCAACAGTCTTCTTATCCAGGTTTTTGAAAAAGGACAGCAATATCAGAATCTGTTCAATTAATAACAATCAAAGAATAAACCTGACTTTTCTGATTTCAGTAGAAAGATATTTTTTGTGTGCTGGTCATATTGTGGGGATATTTAGTGAAATACCAGCTGATCACAGTATAGGCCCTATCTTTAACATCACCGTAAAATTTGAGTGTAAATGTTTGACCTGAACATGTTGACCTCTTTCAATCTTTAACATCTCTAAAA